TTGCCTGCCATCTCAGAATGATAACTTGTCCTCCTGACTTGCCTCTGTGCTTCCAGGGAAAAGGCAGAGAATAAGCAGGAGGAAAGTTCAGGTTCACTTTTGCTTTAAAGTTCCTGCCAAGGCGTCAACATCAAGGACAGACAGGAAAGGCAGAACTGAAAATAGATTCCAATGCACTATTTTCAATTCCCCCTTCTGTTTCTCTCTTTCTTTCTTTTTTTTTTCCTTCCTGCTCCCAAACCAATGTCTGTTCGCCAAGGTGTGCGTGTCCTCTCCTCTGCATCCGTACCTCTCTCTTGTCCAGTCTTTTCTGTGTGGGTGATGCTCAGAATATTCTGTGGCAGCCAGGAGCTCATCTGCTCGGCAAGCCAGAGGGTTCCTGTGTAGAACACTGCCGATTCCAGAATTGGCAGGAAAAGGGTGAAGGCATTTCCAGGGGCTGTTTTAATTAATTAACACAGCAGAACAGAAGCAAAAATCATTTCCTGTGAGTGAACAGATCCTCCAAAGGTTATTTGGCGGTGCAACTTGGAACTTCTGTTTTACATCAGAGCTGTTGGGTCAAGGATTTTGATTCCTGATTGATTTTCTAAACTCCTTCTTACTCACATTAGGTCCTTATTTATGCTTTGATAGTTTCCCTCCACACTTCCTCACCACCCCCTCAACACACCCTCCTTTGAGGACACTCAGCTGGTATTCTTCTGCAAATTTCAGACCAAGCTAAACTATATTAAATGGTGCGCCTAGGTTTTGACGTAGGTGCCTCACGATTTGAGCAGAGTTTGCTATTTCTGAGATTTCAAGTATACAAATGTCTGTTGCTATATAAAAATCCAACACTTTAAGGGTTTACACCACAACAGAATATACTTTTTTAGGTTGCCTTCAAATATTTTAAAAATCACCCCTTTTTTTCACCTTGAAAAGTACTCAGGAATGTCTTGATTTTTTATCCCCAAGCACAAAGCTATGATTGTTTCTGAGCCCTGGCTCTCCATTTCACCCTTTTCCCTGCATGGAATTCATACCTAAAATAGGTTAGGAAAGGGACCCCTTTACTGCCAAGATCACCTCAGGTGTCTAGGTGGGCTCCAGCAGATAGCAAATGCTCAGAAATTGTTACTCCAAAAGGGTTGTTATTATTATGTCAATAAATGATAATACATCTTTCCAGAAATTGCTTCAAATTAAGAAGTCTAATAGTCAAAATAGAACTGATGTTCAGCAGCTTCAGAGGCAGTGACCTTGGCAGTAAAGAAAAGGTTCAAGAACTATATACGGTAGATGTTCTTTTTATTATCCCCAAGACACAGAGGAGTTAAAACCCGTGAATATCAGGAGTTTTTTTGAGCCAACCCAAATACACACACAGCCACAGCACCTCCTGGCCTGGACTTTATCCTCCCAGGCGGTGTGAGAAAGCTGATCTCTCCATTATATGACGGCAGAGGATCAGTGTTTAAAATACAACAATAAACAGCTCCATCACTTTGACCTTCTTCATCTTAGGAAGATGTAAAGTGATCCTCTTCCTAACTAGTTATGGACCAACGTTCAGGACTCACTGGAACCCAAACACCAATTCAGCAAGACTCCCTGAAGCTTAAACTACTGACTCAAGATAGGGCCAATTCCCCCAACTCGGCATGTGTGGAAATGGAGAGAGGAGATGACAAAGACTCCCTTGTCCCTTTCGCCCCTGAGCTTTTTGTTAGTTTGGCTTCTGTGTTTGCTCTTGTTTACATAGGTCTTCCAGTGCTGGGTGTCATGATAAATCCTCTACACATATTGTCATATTTAATTCATAAGTTAATGCCACTGGTATCCCTATTTAAAGGACAGGGAAACTGAGGCTCAGAAATATTCAGGAACTTAACAAAATACCCCAGAGTGAGTGGAAGAGACAAAGGTTATACCCAGATCTACCTGCCTTTAAATCACACCCATGTAACCGCAGTTCTGTACCCCCCAACTTCCCCACCCCTCTACCTCCCAACCCCCAACACAAACACCTGTTCCATGGTCTCCCAGATGGTGACTTTGGACTGAACACCACTCTCAAGGAACACAACTGTGTCCTGAATTTGGAAGGTAGTGCTTTAACTGCTGCTTTTCTAGAACTAGTCTTTAAGGGAAAAACCTTCTAGATTATGGAACAGCCATTGTCTGCACCCAGAATGCAGCATGGTGCCAGATCAGGCTTATTGAAGTAGAGAAGGTGGGTAGAGACGAGCTTCTGCAGCTTGCCTATTACCTGACAGTTGACTCCCAGGAGAAAACAGAAGGCTGGTTCCTGCCTCATTTCAATGGCATGGGATATCTGTGCTGCCAGTGAAGGAGAAAGACTGTAACACACCATGCAAAAGACCCTGCTGGCCTGCGACGGTGTTTGAGTACCTGTGAAATCAAGGCTCTAGAATCATTTCCTACCCTGTTCCCACAGTGCTGCCTTGGAGAATTTGGGGAAACAAGCCCACAAGTGACAGTTGGAAAGCTTTTCCCAGCACAGGGTGTGGCCAACCCTTCCATTCTTTTGTGGCCTTTTTATTTTATTATCATCGCTGGCAGCCAGCAAAGCTTTGCAAAGCTAATCACAAAACCTGTGATTAGTGGGTTTCTGTCAAATGTTTTGTCTGCCAGGTTTCATGACTTGGGGGCCTTCCTTGGCTTGGGTTATTTCAGGCTTCATTCCACAGGCTTATTTGTTCCCTCTTCTGAATGCTTTATCCCTATTTTATAGATAATTTTTAAATAGCAATTATTGATTGTCTCCACTTAATAGTGCTGCAGACTGTTTTAAGTTCAAATGACCCTGAAGCCACAGAATAGCTTTTATTAGTACAAGCATTGTCTCCTATAAACCTCAGAACCTCCTCTTTCCTCTTCTGGGCCTTCCAGCAGATGTTATAAGGGCTTCTAGGAGTTGTCTTTCACAAGTACCCCCTCTTTACACTGAAAGCTACAGAGGACAAAAGATCATGCTTCATAATCCATCTCTACAGTTCCCAAATAAGACTAGATTGGGCAGCCAGAAAAGTATCTTGCATCCAATCTGCCTGGGCAACCTCCAGGCCATCACAACCTCTCTCCCCACCATCACTTGCTCCCCACCTCTTCTTTCTTTGGAATTCTTTACGTCTCCTTTGCCCTCTCTTTCTTGTTCCTTTTAACTGCGTCTCTCTGCTATTCCACAGCTTCCCCACCCCCCTTTTTCTCCCGAGTTTGTTTTGAAGAGTAAATAGAAATATTCAGGTTCAGAGGATCTTCATGGTGAACCTAATATTGACTCTCGACATCTGTCAGACGTGGACCCCAGGGCCTCTCTGGTTATAGATTAATTTTCAGTGTTATCACCACTGTGGACTGAGTTTAAACCCCGAGGGAGCTGACCTCCATGGCACGGCAGACCTCTCCTGTCACACCTGCTGCTCCCCTCAGCAGTGTATTTCAGCAAATCCTTCTGTTCTGCTCCCCACTCTTTCTCTAGTGAATTTTCTCATCTCCCCCTCCCTTGCATCTCTGGCCTATACCACCATTCTACTATTCAAAAACAAGTTGTTTTTTTTTTAATTTTCTTAAATGTGGACCACAGGCTCATCAATTCACCCTTCTTCACTCCTTATGAAGCCCAAGCCACATGCTGGCCTGCTTTACTTGAGAGTGTGGCCTATGCTATACAACCATGACCTTGGAGGAACTGATACCTTTGTGATAGCAAAATGTCTAGGTTTATGACTGATGGAACTTGTGAGCAAAAAGGGTTCTCTCCTGTCATCTTCAATATTGGAATCAACTGACCCCACTCTAGTTTACAGCTTCTGTCATCCCCACCTGTAACACAAGTGACACACACCCCAGGATTTCCACCTGCCAGGAGCAGAAGGAGAGGGGACCCCAACTTGCAGTGTTCTATCCTAGGGAGGAGAGACTCCCCAAGAGAAGCATTTTGAAGACTGATTTCATTTGGTCTAGTTTTGGTCTACCTGGAAACGTAGGATGAGATTCCCCCATTAATACAATGCTAGAGAATCCAGCCAAGAGCAAATGTCCAGTGGAACCCTATAGGACTTGGCAATATTTTGAGGGACTCATCACCTCTAAATCCAGACAATAATCAGTCAGTTCAAAATGAGACTTCTTTGTGCCTTGAAAGCCCTGCGAGGGAGCAAACAAGGATTTAAAAAAGAAAATTGTGCTCTGTTTACTAATCTCCACACTTGTGCATGTTTTTTTTTTTCTTTTTCTGTGCTTGTTGCATGCATTTACACATTAATTATGTCAATAATGGAGAAGAACTGGAGCATTATATTTGTGGTATAGCTGCTTAAATGATGCATTTGAAAGTGGCATTTTTTTCCAGCACCTTCCCCTTAACATCTCATCACTGATTGCCGTTCCCTGCTGCCCTGTTGATTGCCCTTTGCCCTAAATGGAATCAGTTGTCTCCTTTATGCTTTTAGTGCAGCTGACTCAGCAGAAAGATGTGACATGTGCTCTTAACTTATTTAGAAACTGCAATGTTAATTAAGATAAATGTTTGAAAACCAAACCAATCACAGGACCGCCTTGGCTTGACTTTCCATTGTCAAAGCCAACTCTCAGATAAGCACCTAATCTGGAGAAATGGTTGCACCAACAGAGCTGCCCTTCCTTAGATCTGCTCTGGATCCCAAACAGCAGGGGCTGATTTAATGATGATGGGAGCTTTTGCTTATTTTGTAAACAACTGGGAGGGAGGACGAGGTCCGAGTCAAACCTTTCGTCAGTGGTCCAGCACCTTGAGATTTGGAAATAGAGAATGGGTCTGAAGAGTCCACAAAGGTAAGAAACTACCCGATGTGCAGGGCTTGGCTCATGTGGGGGTGGGGATGGAAGAAGTACCCAGGAAGTTGCCCAGGAAGACACGCGCCTCTCGGCCAGTGCATCCCCATTTGCCAGCAGCTTCTCTTTATCTTCCTTCTCACCCTGTCTCCTTCCCGCTGCTTTCTGTGCTTCAGGAAGGTTCAGAGAAAAGGCGTCAATTCTCCACAAAATCGCCAAGAAGAAATGCCAGGTGGATGAGAACGAGAGGCAGAATGGGGCTGCCAATCACGTGGGTGAGTGTGGGGAGACTTCCCTCCCAGCCTTCCTGCAAGGTATACGGGGAGCAAAGGGACAGGAATCTACAGGAATCTACATGGACACCTCCGACCCAGTGTGGACACTGAAGCTAGCATCAGGCTGGGTGTCAGGAGAAATTCCACTATGCTGGTGGGGACAGGACAGGAAGGAACACAGTTTGCCATCTAGTCTAGGGAAGTACCAAGACGACTAAAATGATTCTATGAGATGCCATATACAAAACATAAGCTATAAAATAAATGTTTAAAAATAAATAAAACTGCTGAACAAGGTCATGCTTAGTGAAATAAGCCAGAAAAAAACGGAAAAATACAGGATGGTTTCACTCATAGCAGGTGAGAAAATAATAATAATGAACAGCTATATGCCAGAGACATTTTATGGGTGTGGAGTGGGGAATGGGATCAAAAACTGTAGTGGGGAAGGAAATGCACTGGACTTTGGTGATGGCATAGGGGTGATTTGGTGATGGGCATCCCACAGGGATTACAACTGAGATGAAAAAATGCACAAAAGGATATAAAAATAAACTATTATATATAAAAACTCTAATATAAAAATATTTATACTTGCAACAACAAATAACTGCATAAAGAAATGGTAGAATATAAATAAATAAATGAAACCAACTCCTAACCACGTATCTCCTGGTATAGAAAACCAAGTCATTATTAGAAAATAATACATACACACACACACACACACACACACACACACCTGTCATTTTAATATTTAACAACAGGGGAAAGAACCCCTTCTAAAATTTCTTGCCTGCCCACCAGATTTGACAACTTTAACAATGCCTACAGCAAACCAACTAAATCATCATATGGTTTACTTCTCAATCCTAAACTGAGGGGCAGATCCCTGGGAATTAACACCTCTTCTTCTTTCTTAAGAATTCAGCAATCCCGGTCCAGGTCTCTTTTGGTTAACTCTCTGAGCTCCATGTGAGCAGAGAGTGACATTCAGGCATCTTATTTTAACTTGGAACATGATGTTCCTCCTCTCCTGTCTGTAACTATAACATAGTTCTGTAATTCTAAATTCAAACTAAATTTAACCTAATCTGGATCTATGCTATAAACGATTCTATTGCCCAAAAAAACTAAAATTATCTGCTGACAAATTTCAACAGTGTTACACTCAAAATATATGACACTCCTTAGAAGAGTTTCTGCCTCTCCTGTTATCCTGACTTTTACCTCAGAGAAAAATCTTTGGCTGAGAAACAGTCAAGACTCTATAAGGTATGAAAAGAAATACTGGAAGGCAAGAAGCTAAAATGTGAACAGTAGTTACTTCTGAAATTGGAAACTTAAAATATATTTTTCCCACTACCTCTTTATGCTTCTATGAACTCAGGCAACTTTATAGAATGAACATATCTTGCTTTTGTATCAAAAAGATGTAAAGACACACCACAGCAATCTAATGTATAGGCTGTTTGTTTGTGAATTTTAAGTCCAATTGTCTGGTTTGTTTTTCTACACCACTTGATAATATCTCTCCTTTGGGAGAAGACAGCTTGGAGTGAAAGACTGAGATGCCTGGGTCCAGTCCCAGCCTTCTCCCATGTTTAGATGACCTGAGACATGGATTTCCTCTTCCAAGAGGAAGTAAGACATTTAAGTCCAAGGATCCATATGATGCTGACTGGGTCTCCAGATGACTTTGTAACTGAAAGCTACTGTGCTCCTCTCCTTTGGCCTAACATCATAGAGTGTTCTTTTTTAATACAGCTGTTATACCCATTGACTCCATGTGCTTCCTCTGTGTGTGTGTGTGTGTGTTTGTGTGCGTCTGAATTATGTCATAGAAAAAATCGAGCTCCCAAACAGCACCAGCACAGAAGTTGAAATGACAACACCCAGTGATGCTTCGGAACCTGTACAAAATGGAAGTCTCTCCCATAACGTTGAAGCTGCGGAAGCACAGGTAAGGCTTTGTTGCGCTTGCTTTATTGGGCTAATGGTCTCACTAACAGCTGCATTCTGGCAAAGGTCGTGTTTCCAGCAGATAGGTAGCAGGCAGAATCTTATTAATCCTTGTGTGTACTCCCCAGAACCTGCTCAGGGCCCGTGTACACAGGGCTCTACTGTTAATGAATACACATTTTCTAATCCATCGTTCCTCAGGAGGACGTGGGAGGACTCTTGCATCAACTATCCTGGGGATAAAGTGAGTCTCTGAGAAGCAGCACCCAGAAACCAATTAAATTTTTAGTTGGTAGCTGCGTATAGTCTAGTCCTTTTTCTGTGTCTTTAAGGTAAAGGTTAAAAAAAAACAAACTGAGAAACCGTCCCTCCCTGGTGATACAGCTGGTTAAAGCACAGCACTAAGAAGCTATGGCAGCCACTATAGCATGAGTTTGATCCCCGGCAAGGGAGCTGACCCACCTGGTGTGGCAGACCCCTCCTGACCTGCCTGCTCCTCCCCTCAGCAGTGTATTTCAGTTAGTCCTCCTTTTATGTTCCTTAATCTGTCTCTGGTGAATCCTCTTACACCACACACCTCTGGCCTTTACACCCATTCTGTATGCATAAATAAATCTTTAAAAAAAAAAATAGAAACCACAGCCATCGCACATCAGTCAGCCTCTTTGGCCTTCCCTGTGCCTGCAGTTGAAATTCAGCAGTGCTTTGTGGCACAATCTACTCACTGTTCAGTGGTGCGATCAATAGGTAGCTATTTGATCTAATTATTACAGTGTTTAACATTTACACAAACCTGGTGCTGCAGCTTTAGGGTAGGCATCTACATAGGTTACACCTTCCTACCTTACAGTATAGGGATTTAGTATCTCCAGTTTATAGTTGAAAAATCTAGAACTTAGCAAGATGACATTAGTGATCAAAATTATCTTGTTTGCAGGTAGTGGATCTCAAAATTGATCTCATGACTGTCTAGAAACAGTGTCTGTACTATTTGTACCATACAATTCTGCTTCTAGCCCACAACTGCCCCCCAAAAAAGGCAGAACAAAAATTTAGGTGGTACTTGTTAGATTTCGGCCTTCATCCTGATCCAGTGAATTAGGATTTCTGAGAATAAGAGTCCTAAATGTTCATTTGAACTAAAGCGCCTAGGTCAGAGTTTTTCAAACTTTTGTGTGCTTATAAACTTCCTTAATTTAATATTCAGGTTCTGATCTGTCAGATTTCCAGTAACTCAGAGGCTGACGTTCTAACTAGTTCTCTTCTGCTGTTGGACCACATTTCGAGTAGCACTACCCTAAAGTGGACACCCCTCTCTAGACAGAATTTCCTGGGAGCTGAGAAGAATGCCACAAATAGAGACCAAACTTCCACCAGTCAATACTGTCATTTTCTTCTCTTTTCTTTTGTATCAGGATATACTCTGAAAAAGAAAAATCTGTTCTTCTTAAAAATAACATGCTGATTATTACCTGTTGATTTATTTTCTGAAAGAAAGTTTATTCATTTAAAGGAAGGGATAAAGTTCAGCATCTTTTCACATTCCTGTTGGCCATGGGTATGTCTTCTTTGGAGAAAAATCTATTTAGGTTCTTTTTAATTGTTATTTGTATACTTAACTATTGAGTTGTATGCACTCCTTATCTATTTTAATTATCAATGCCCAATAGGATAATCTCTAAAGTACTGAAAATTTTTCACCTTTTCCATAGGATTCTGTTTCATTCTGTTCAGTTTCCTTGCTATGCTTTTTTATAAGGTGTAAATATATCAAACTATCACACTGCACACCTTAAATATATTTATTTGTCAAATATGCCTCAATAAAGCTAGAAAATATACCTAAAGGAGAGGCTAAAGAAACGGGAGCTCCTTCTGCCCTTGTCTCCTCTGCCTTCTAGACTTCTGCCCTCCTGTCCGGAGCCCCATGGTCCCTTCGCATTAACTGAAGGGTGAGCTGGCAGAGCAGCTTATGTCCACATGGGTAAGCAGCATGTGGCAGCAGCAGGCAGGCCCCAAGGACATCTGGCTGCCCTTGGGGATGGCACAGTCACAGGTGTGCAGAGGGCAGCCTACTCATCGTGCCTCTCCATCTGGCTGGCAGAGGGACATTTGTGGCCCCCTGCAAGGAAGCACCTTGCTTCAGGGGAGTGAATCCCACCTGACCCCTCTCAGGGCAGAGCTTTGCCCCCAGGCCTTATGCAGAGAAACAGGACCTGTTTTTGTTCCACCCTGATAGACTGAGGGCCCAAGGACAGACCTCCAAAGAACCACCCTACTCTCGCATCAGGACAACCAGGTGATTTAAGTCTAGATCCACCAGGGGCAAGTTATCTCACCTCACTTCTGATTCCTCATCTATAAAGTACAGATAATAATAGTACCTGTCTCATGAAGGTTATTAGAAGGGTTATATGAGCTAATGTACATAAAGCACTTAGCTCAGAGCTAAATGCTAGCTGTTTCTATTATTAAGTGCCCATACTTGTCATTTAAACACCTTTCAAGGCGTCCCTTCCTTGAAGGAACTTAGTGTAGGTAAAATGAAAATGAAGTATATATGTCTGGGGTGTTCAAGGTATGAGAATAAATAAATCAGTAAATATTTGTGCTAGATACATAATTTTGGCTCAGTTTGTTCATAGTGGTTAATATAAGGTACTCTGGAAGCCTGACAGAGGAGAAATGGATCCAAGTTAGGGGAAATGCAAAAATTCCAAAGAGAGGATATTGATGGATTGAGATGGGTATTGATGGATGAATAGGAGTCTGGCACTCAAAGAAGAAAGTAATGACTGTAATGACAATTTGTGCAAAGTTATAAAATCTGAAGAGGGAAGATGGATGGAGCTGGGAAAAATCATGCTTAGTGAAATAAGCCAGAAGGAAATGGGAAAATACTGGATGGTTTCTCTAATAACAAGAATATAATGGAACAGGCGAGAAAATAATGATAGTGATGAACAGCTATATACCAGAGACATTTTAGGGGGTGGAGTGGGGAATGGGATCAAAAACAGTGTGGGGAGGGAAATGCACTGGACTATGGTGAGGGCACAGGGGTGATTTGGTGATGGGAAAACCAAGGGATTGCAACTGAGATGGAAAAATGCACAAAAATATGTAAAAATAAATTATAATTAAAAATTTTTTTTTAAATCTGAAGAGGGAATGCATGCTTAGTGACTCGAGAGAAAGCCAGTGGAACTGGAGACTAAAACAGAAGGTGAGGCTTGAAAAGAATTCACTAGGAAAGGTAAATTGGGCTCAATTCTTGAACAGTTCAATCACATTATTTTTAGCATTTATCTGATATGGGGCAGGCAATGTGCTGAGCCCTGAAGATATCCAGACGTTCTAGCAGAGCAGAAAGACTACAGATACAAACCCAGCTCAAATTATAGAGGCCACAAGAGTCAAGGAAAATATTAAGCACAGTGACTCACTGGAGGACAAGTTCTTTAGGATGGAGATGAGGGGCAGGCATTAGAATGAGGCTGAACCCTCAGAAGGAGGCAGCTGAAGGAATTGCACCCACAAAGGCAGAGATGAACTTAACCTGTCTGAGGAATAGAACATCGGTGTGGCTGGAAAGTGACAAAACAAAGCCATCCGGCTTGCAAATGAGGATAAGGAAGTTTACATCCTTCTAGACAGCCACAGCCATCGGAGGTCTCCAGATATGGTTTACAGAGGTAGATATTCCTGGGGGTGTGTAGAAACTGGATTTGGGACAAACATAGGTACAGCAATAGTGTACCTATAGTGGGACAAAGGCATCACTGCATGAGTTGAGACAAAAGCTGATGGAGGCATGGAACAGGGATGGTAGTCACGGAGGCGAGGAGTATGTGGGTGGGCAACCCCAAGTAGGGATGGCACACACCCTGAAGCAGCCCAGCCCTCACCCTTTTCTGAGAGAGTGGAGGAAGAGTACCAAGCATCAGATTTGCATTACAGGAAGACACATCGTTCAGAACAGTCAGCAAGAGGCCAGAGTACAAGACAATTAGATCTGTGGCAAAGTAAGAATCTGTTAGTTCAAGGATCAGCAAACTATGCTTGGTGCCCAAATCTGACCACAACCTGTTTTTTTGTTCAACCTATGAAACAAGAATGTTTTACATTTTTAAATATTTTTTGTGTCATTTTTGTGTTTTTTTGAAGAAGCAGTTGCATATGTAACAAAGACCATATGGACTACACAGCCTAAAATATTTACTATCTGTCCCTTTACAGGAAAAGTTTGCCCACCCCTGGTTTAAGCCATCTGCAGTCTTTAAAATTAAAAGAATGGAAAAAAAGGAATAAATAAAAGAATGAAAAAGCTCTTCATGTATTAATAAGGGATGCTCTTCAATATATGTTGTTAGTGAAAACAGCAACATGTCAAATTTCATCCAGCATACCATATCGGGGTTGAGAATGGGGATGCATCACATGTAAGCATTAGGTTGGGTTGCTTTTGAACAAAATGGACAAGCTGATGACCTACCTAACAGGAGTGTGGATAATGGAGAACTAAGGTGGAAGGGAAACTTTCATTATGTCGCCTTTTGTGACTTTTGAACTGTGAGCCAGTTAATAATTTGAGAAAATGCAACAATAAAAATAATAATGGGTTAAATTAGAGCAGACCTAGTATACGTTCGCCCTTTGAGAACAGAGTTCTGGAGACAAATTCCATGAGTTCAAATTCTAGATCTACCTTTTGTCAGCTGTGTGACTTTGAAGAAATTACTTAACCTCTCTGTTCTTTGTTTTCTGTGAAACAAAGGATAATAACAGTACCTATTTCATAGTATTGTTGTAAGACTAGAATACACTAGGGCAGGTCCTTGGCACATAGTGAGGCCTAATAAGTGCTTGTTTCAGCAGTAGTACTTAGAAAAACTTAAATGGCTAAGTAATTCAGAAGACAAGACCTTAGACCAAATATTGACCATGGTGTGGAGAGTAATGGCTTGTATTAGAGAGTTGTTTCTGAGGCAGAATTGAATA